GTTAACAGAAGAAAGAGCTTTCTTAACTGGAGAATACTACAAAAGAGACAAGGTGATTAGAAAATTAAAAGAGCATTTCCAAGAAATAGATCAACTCATCTCTGCTAAACAGTAACATTGAGAATATGAGTTAAATCCTTTTCTAGTACCACCACTGGTACCTCCTAGCTACTTATCTCCTTTTAATCCATCTTTCTTTTATTCCAGAGAAAATTTACTGCTCCTTCTTTCTCTCTCCTTTCAGCATATAGACCTAAACCAGTGTCTATTCCCAAAAGTTCAAAAGGAAAAGGAAAGATGAGTATCTCTTCTTCTGATACTGTTGCCAAGACAACAAATTTGAGTTCATCTTCAGATGATTCATTTCCACCTCCAAAAAGGTTGTCAAAACCTAGTGAAGAAAAAATGTCTTTCCAAGGTTCTCTTTCTATAAGAAAAGATGACTACACAAGTGAGTCAGAACATTCTTCAACCTCAAAAAAATGAGTATTCAATCTCATTAGAAGAATCTTCTGATACTTCTAAAAAAGAAATCCTTACAAATGATCTAGCCAATCTTAACTTTGATTCGCAAAGTGATTCAAATCTTTCTGAAGATTCACTAGAAATAATCTCTACTGAAACATTAGAGCAAAATCTTACTGATATTACTGGAATCATGATGACTAATACTATGGAATCTAGTAACCCTAGAGGCTCATTCTATGATTCTCCAAAAGAAGATGAAGAAGAAGAAAAAAGAGGAAAGAAAGGAAACAAACTCAATTGAGGTCCCTATTTCATTCTTGATGATGTTTCCTTTCAATACTGGAGAAAAATATTACTTGATTTGGAGCCTGGCTAGACATCAAATTCATGAGAACAGATGTAGATCCTTATAAAGTGGTTGAAGAGTTTTGTTGCAAAATGACAGGAACTCTAAAAGAATGGTACCACAATCTTGAAAGAGTAAAGTAAGATCAATTTCACCAACTCCTTGACACATGTTCAGTCCTTGGAGCTATTTACCAAGAATTTGTGAGAGATATGGATCTCTAAGATAAAAAAAAGTAAGGTAAAATTACTTTGAAATGAAATGTTCTCTAAAAAAAAGTCATCTAAATAAACACCATAAAAGGATGGTAGAAAGCTTTTACCTACTTAATCGATACAATGATACTAGACTTAAGAACACTTATGTTGCCTCACTTCCACAAGAGTTGCAGTCAAAAATTCATAAAATGATAGTCTCTCAAGGAAGAGATTTAACTGATATGAGTCTAAGTCAAATTCATCAAATGAAGAAGTCCTCGACAAACTATGCAGACAACACTTATTTTTCACTGATATGATGAACCGGAGATCAAAATTCTCAAAAGTCTGCAAGAAGAATTTCACCTAAAAACTGGATGTAAAGATAAGAAATGTGTCTTTTCCTTCAAGAAAAAGAAGCTAAAAATATTTTTTGGGAAAAAGAAGAAAAAAATGAAGTTTTTAAAAAAAAAAAGGAAAAAAAATAAGAGTACTAGATGTCTTATTTGTGGGGAAAAAAGGCCATTTTGCTAATAAATGCCCAAATAAAGACTTAAAGGCACAAAATCTGATCAATTCTCTATATCCAATTGAAGGAAATATTGAATCAGAATACTTAAAACATGAAGAAGCAAATAAGAACATAGTCTTTGCCTTACAAGACTCCTCTGATGATTATTAAAAAAAACAGATAAAGAAACTAAATATATGGATACATGTGCTAAGGTCCAAGTTCTCTCTTCTAAATTTGCAACTCCTGTAAAAGCTATTGCCTATATGGATACCGAAACTCAAAAAACAATGATGAATCCAGATATTCTTTCCAAAGAAGTCTAGATGAAAAACTCATCCTTTTTTGTAGCAGCTGATGAAAAAATCTTCAAAACTGATCTAATCTCGAAAAAGTCCATTGGAATCAAATTTTTTTCTAGATTGTATAGTCTGGATGAGAGTCATAGGAAGTCATCTTCCTAACAAAGATATCCTTCTCGAGATGGATGCTTATTGTGCTGTTGAGAAACTTCAGATTCTACCCAATGGTATAAAATTCAAGAGAAGTTTCAAGCCTTACACTGATGAATTAAGGCTATACTCCCTAGAACACTATGCAGAAGGATATGATGAGATAAAAGCAAAACTCCAACAATTATGTGCAGATGGACATGAAAATTTTGTTCATCCCAATCCTCTCTGGAACAACATGAATTCTTCATATAGCTTCCTTTCAAGCTAAATGAAGATATCAATCCGACTAAAGCAACACATCTAGGTATGAGTCTCAATGATCTCCAACTTGCTAGACAAGAGTGCATTGAACTATTAAGACAAGGATTGATAGAGCCAAACAAATTTGAGTGGGCATGTCAAGTATTTTATGTGAAAAATGATCTGAGAAGCTAAGGAGAAAACAGAGGTTAGTAATTGATTACAAACCTTTAAACTATTTTTTCAAAGATGATAAATTTTTTATTCCTAAGACTGCCTCTTTTTATATCCTCATAAAAGAAACCATGATTTTTTCAAAGTTTGATTTAAAATCTAGTTTCTGGCAACTTAGTGTTGACTCAGCTGATAGATATAAAACTGCTTTCTGCATCCCCAATGCTCAATACCAATGGAAAGTTCTTCCATTTGATCTTAAGGTTGCACCTTTTTTATTGCAAAAAGCAATGACAAGAATCTTTGAACCTATTCTTGACAGTATTTTCATTTACATTGATGATGTTCTTCTATTTTCAAAAGATGAAGAATCTCATAAGATATTGTTAAACAAATTCTTTGAGCTTGCTAATACTTATGGGATTATGCTATCAGAAAAGAAGATTCATTTAGCCCAGACCCAAATAGACTTTTTGAGAATGTATGTTTTTTAGGAAAATTATCATCCTTAACCTCACATTGCAAAAAAATTACTTAATTTTCTTGATAAAAACTTCTCTATAAAGCAGATTCAATAATTCTTAGAGATTTTGAATTATATTAGGGCTTTCATTCCTAGTGCTACTAAATACACCAGCCCATTATCAAAACTTTTAAGGAAAAATCCTCCACATGGGGTTCAGAACAAATTGAAACAGTTCTTCATTTAAAAAAGATAGCTCAAAATCCTTCACCATTGAAAATTCCTAAAGAAGGAAAGAGGATTTTGCAAACTGATGCTAGTGATCATTATTAGGAAGCTGTCTTATTCGAAGAGATTGATGATAAAAAAAGGTTTACTGTGGACATGCTAGTGGACAATTCAAAGAATTTGAGAAGCATTATCATACAACTTATAAAGAAGCTCTTACGGCCAAATATGGAATTCAAAAAATTGATTTCCATTTGAGAGGACATAATTTTGAGGTACAAATGGATAATTCTTCTTTTCCTACTCTGGTTGAATTCAAAAACAAAATGCCTCCAGATCCACAGATCTTCTCGTTACAAAATTGGTTTTTTATATATAATTTCTCTGTCAAACACATTCAAGGAAAAAAGAATGTGATTCCAGATCTATTAACCAGACCAATGAAGCCTATCTCAATAATTACTTCTGCACAAATCTATCCTTTAATTTTTCTTCTCAATAATGCAAAAGCCAGCACCAGCCATCTCCGGCATCACATGTTTCCTCCAGACTTCAGAATTGATGATTTTATTACCCTAGAATATATAAAAGATTTCGCCAGAAATCATATGTTTCATTATCTGGCCCTCTCTTTGCACAATCATGGAATCAAACCAAAACCATCATGGTTTCATCCAGATGCTCCTTATCTAAATATCTTTACTTTATTAATAGAGATTCCCATGACTGAAGAAGATCTTTGGTACTTATGGTGTGTTTCTCTATTATTCCATTGTCCTATAGTCTTCCCAACATTCAAGATGTTTGAGTTTCTCAATAATTTTCAGACTGACTCCTCTCTGTTATGGAAGTTATTATCCTAGTTCCAACCTATTTCCTCTTGGAAAAAATATAAACAACTTGAAATGGAAAGAGTATGCCTACGGAAAGAAACAAGTTTACCACCCGCGGAGTTTTCAAGAAACGTAACAGTGGTAATTATTCATAGACCATATTTTGAACACCCAACTTCCAAATTACTCTATACCCAGAATCAAGTCAGATTTTGGAACACGTATAGATGTATAAAATATGTTTTTGATCTAGAAAGACCATCTTTCCACAAGGCTGACTTAATCACTCATCTCCATGTCATCAATGGAGCTTAAGAATACATGACCAAAGTAAATTCCATTTGTACGAATCTAAAACTAATGGATATTATTTGTCCTCCAGATCCTGATGATGATAACATCTAGAACCAAATTCAACAAATAATACCACCTCTTACTTCTTCAGGCCTTACTTTTGAAAATTAGGAAAGAGAAGGACAAGTCATTCCATGAGATGAAGCTGATATCATCACAAGTAGACATAATGATGGATTCTCAAGATCCTTGTGACTCTATAATAGATCAAGATGGATGAAAATTTATAATAATTCAAATCTCTCTCCAAGTCATGAACCTATACACAAAGATTAAAGAATCTCTAAAACAGCAATTTTATGTAATAAAGTATCTTTATACTTTTGCTTTCAGTTTATTTTATCTGAATAATTGTACTAAGGCTTGTATTGTTTGCTTAAAGTGTCTTTAAAAAAGATATCGAAATCTTATTCGATATAATCTTGTTGTAAAAAGCTTTACTCTTTTTCCTCTATAAATAGAGAAGAGCATTTGTGTATAAGGCAGAAAGTGATCAATAAAAGTCCTTTTGTTTATATAACACTATGTATTCTTTCTAAGTTTCTTTCTGAAAGCTTTATTAATAATGGTTATCCTCTAATTTCTTATTAGAAATAAATATGCTTTACACTTGCCTTGTAATGAGAATCCTGTGTATTAGAAAAGTTCTTGGTTATGATTCAATTGCTTATGGTCCTCCTTTGATTTGTCAAATAAGCGAGTATAAGAAAAATGTATAAGAGGTTTTGCTAAGGTATCAAAAAGGACCGATGGTTCATATCTTTGCTATGATATTGGAAGCTCTCCGCTAGTAATGGTAATACAATTTAAGATAATTTTCAATTCTTTAATCAGCATTATGAAAACAATCGTTGACAAGACACGATCTTTAATATTGCATAATGTTGACTTTATTCTTATAATTTCATTTTCCATTGCCCATTGATTCCCCCGTCATAGTTCCTACGCGAAATAGCTGAAGGGCTTGACCAGAGTGCATCTTGTTGGAGACTCTAGCCTTTCTATAATCTTCATAAACAAAAGGTTGATGAAGACGTGGATGATCATGGCTCACCAATTCTGCTGGAGCCTCAACATTCCCATTCCTTGGTCCTAACATAAATGTAGCAATTGATAAACGCTTCCTTGCTTCCTTGCATATTACACGGTGCTCCACATTGCGAAACCTTCCGTTACTCCATACCTTAATTCAATTACATTCCACATTATAAGAAGATTGTATCAGTTTAATCACATTTTTAATGCTCTGTGTGTAATTTCACTCATTCTAATTTCAAATCTCTGTACACCATTTTGTGTATGTTTTTTTTCTAATATGTGCTCAATGATACATGTAATGTGATTTAGTTGAAGGGAAGGTGATGACTTATTGGTAAAGACTTACATGGCCAATGTCACCAAGATTGACAAGGAGGGTGGTAGGTAATGGAGGGACAGGTACAAAGGAGCCAGAAATGTGCATGACTTCAAGACCACCAACATTTTCATCATCTTGAAGAACTGTTAGGAAGCTTGAATCTGTGTGAATTTGAACTCCAGAGGACCCTACAGCTTCTGGGGTGAAGTGATAATTGTTAATTCTGAATTGGCATATCCAATCCTCAAAATCAGCATCCACTACGCCCACAGATTCAGCCATCTTTTGTCCTATTTTCACTGTTAAACCATGAATTGCTTGGCCATATGCTTCCACTATTTGCCTGCACGGAATCAATCAAAATCATCCGTACATCAAAACCATGAATTGCTTGGCCATATACTTCCATTATTGATCTACATTTTGTTTGTCACCGGCCATTCTATTTCTAGTCAGATTAATAACATGATTTTTTTTAATTGTTATGTTATTTTACCAGTGTTGGCTACACAAATTTACAGTTAAATTGTTACACCAATTTAAACAAATCGAAGTCAAATCCAAGCATGACATGTATTACAGATCCGACAACCACATGGGTATAAATAAAACACTAAATTGAGCAATAGCTTTACAATTCTCAAGCTTTTCTTTTGCACAAGTGTTAAACAAATCTAACCAATTAAAAGCACTAAAAAATTCCAAAATGGAAGAGAGGGATCTAGGGAATAATCAAACCTCTGGTGGGGTGAGACATCAAGTTGAGAGCAGAAATTGTTCATAGCTTGAGAGGAACAAAAATCATAGATGGACAAGGCCTCATAGAGAGGGTTGACTGCACTTGGTGCCATGTAACCACTTCCAGCAATCACTGCTGAGTTGCAATTTTTCATCTCCGTAGGACGATCGAACAAAGCTGCAATCACCTCCTTCATATCCGCCATGAGGGTTGTGGAAATAGAGTGGTTGATGATCCTAAAGCAACCCCATTTTTCACATGCCTCTCTTAGCTTCTTGCTTTCATCTGGGTCTGAAATCTTCTCTAGATCAATCACTGGAATAGTCCCTTCCATCGTTCTCTGTCTCTATTACCTTTGTTTCTGTGGATATGGGCAAGGATGAATTCACAAAAGATGCACTCAATTCATAGCTTCGTTTAATTAAGTAATTCACATCTGCAAACATTTTATTATTTGTAATTAATTCCTATAAAATATTTTAAGATTTAGTCTTAACTTAAGAAATTAAAAACAGTAAAAAATTAGGAATTGTATTCTAATACAAATTTTTATAAAAATTAAGTTCAATTATGGAAATATCAAACAATTAATTAAACTTTTTTTTAATTATAAGTTTTTTGTTATACTTTTTTTATTATATTCGTTATTGATTATGTTATTTTAGATTTGACTATCTTGATTCATTGCTTTTGGATAGGACTAGGGTGGGCAGTGGTGGGTGCATCTTTGTTTTACTTTAAGCTCGTGATCCTGAAATTGGACACATGCAACACGTGCCAGATAAAATAATTGTAGAATTAGTGATTTATTTTTAAAAAATAAATATTTTTTAATTTTTAAGATATTAAAAAAATTATACTGTTAATTTAAAGAAAATATACAATATTTTTTAAATTTATTTATGAGTATCATAACAAGTAATTTTGATTAATCTAATTACTTGAACAAATATTATGTGTAGGTTTTCAAAATGAAGAAACAAATTCAATCATCGATCATATTCATGCAAAAGTAAAAATGTTTCGTTTTTCGCAGTCAGGAGTTCAAAAGCAAACCCCATGTCTCCAATTTATCTATTTTGGAGGCTCTCTCCATATCAAAATTATTTTAACTAATTTTCGTCTGCATGGTATTATTTTCTTAACACATTCTTTTTAATTATAAAAATTTAAATAAAGGAATTATGTTTGATGAAAGAAGTTATCCAGAGATAAAAATATAATTAAATTTTAAAATTATAAGCAAGTTAAATGATCATTTACTATTTTGGTCTTGGAGAAAATGTTGTTATAAAGTTAATGTTAGGCTCTGTTTGCATGAGAAGTAAAACAGAGAAAAAATAAATAGGAAAAAAAAAAGAATTAGGAGGATGAAATAAAAAAGTTGATATTTAAATATATTAAAATAAGAAAAAAATGATACAAGCATTTATTTCACTTAAAATAATTAAAGTATATTAAAAATATTTATAAAAAATTAAAATTATTTTTATTTTTTAAAAATATTTTATTATTAAAAAATTATTTTACTTTTTATGGCATCAAAAGAAATGATTTTTTTTTAATTTTCTTTCCTTGCTCCTATTTTCGTACCATGCAAACATATCAGTATGTTTTGTTTGATTGTGTGAAAAGAAGAAAAGAAAGAAGTAGAAAAGAAAAAATAAGCGAGAAGAAAAATATTATTTTTAATGGAGCCCACTTTAAAATAAAATTCTCCCAAATTGGAGAGAAATCAGTCAGTTTTGGTGTTTTTTTTATCATTTTTTAAAATTAAATAATATTAATATAATTTAAAATTTTTTAAAATAAATCATTGATTAAGAAATATATGATAATAAAAATTTTATTTTTTATGATTATTTTTAATATAATATATTTATTTCTTTTCACTTTCTCTTTTACTTATCTAAATAAGTGAAAATAATTTCTTTTATTTTTTTTCTTATTTCAATACATCTTTTTCACTTTAATTTTAATCTATATTTTTTATCTTATTATTATTTTCTTCTTCTTTTTATCATTATTTCACCTGTCATACAAACACGTCATAATGTATTGTCATTATTTATATTTACCTATATTCATCAATTCATAAAAGCCTTAACCAAAATAATAACAAAAGAAAAAAAAAACACCGCAATTCAAATTCTAGTGCTAAGCCTTTTAAAAAAAATTATAATATAAAGCCAGTTGTTGTTAGTATTACAAAGCAAGGAGTATAATTCTTACCTTTAACGTGATTTTTTATTCATCCATACAAGCGATTTTTTTTTTTTTTTTTTTATTTTAATGTATTCAACTAAATATTTTTACTTAATTTTTACTCTATTTCTCAGCTTATTTCTTTCTTTTCTATTTAACCTTTTATCCAAACAAAGTCTAAGATTTAATTTTGCTTATATGATTACAAAATAAAAATCAAATTTCTCTGTGAACAAAGTAAAAGAAAATAAAGGTGTATCAATCATTTTTAAAATTATTAAATACTATAAGACACTTTAAATTCAAATTAACAACAAATCCATCCTTACTTTTCACTTTACCTATTTACTCATGTTAAGAGTAATTAAATTCATAAAATGACATGGTAACTTTTTTTTTTTAACAAGAATCATATTTAGGCAGCATAATGTATATATTTATATGTGACTTGAGTTAAAAGATTTAAAATATATATATACATGATTCAACTATACATCTTGAATCCCTCTGAAATAAATTACAACCTATAAAGCCTGTGTGATCTTGTAAAGTGGAAACAGATCACACAGCATTCCAAAAACTAAGATACATCAAATGGGCAATGGCCATTGCAGCTTAGAGTTACTACATTGAATGACGGCCATCACTCCTCTCTTTTGTTGGTCTTTCTTCTTTGATTTCTTCCAAATCCTCATCTTCCCCTCTCCTACCTGCTTGCTCCTTCCAATATGCAACCAATTTCTTTAGTCTAGCTATCTCTTTAGAAGAAACATTTTTGCTTGGATCATTCACAATTGATCTCACTCTCGATGCATACCTAAATTAGCATAAAAATATTAAGATTATTACAGCATAAGAGAACATTAGGAGCTGTTTTGTTTAGAAACTATTTTTCTGTTTTCATTTCATGTTTTAAGTTTTAATTACAAAATTGCTACCTTGTTTTCATTTTGTTTTCAAAGATTTAAAGGAAACAGGAAAAAAGTTATTTTCAGTGTTTCCTAAATAAATATTTAAAAACAAATAATAAAATGAAAACAAGATGTAAGTTTTGTAATTAAAAGTGAAAATAAAAGATGAAAATAGAAAATATTTTCTAAAATCAAACAACTCCTTAACAAAATATAAGTATAAAACTCTTAAAGATTTGAAAGTAAACTTTTTAAAGTTCAATAAAAGAAAAAAGAGATAAAAAAACATACATTAGGGAGTTATGTGTCTCATCCAAGCTTGATTCTGCTGGAGATATATTCACAAACATAAGAGTTTTGGCATTACCCCCAAGTGAATCACTCATCAACATAGTTAACTTATGATTTCTATAAGGTATGTGTTGACCACCAGAAGACAAAGCACTAATAACATCTCCTAGTGCTGATAATGATTTGTTGATACTTTGAGCTTCTTTAAGTAGACTACCGGTAGAGCCTGACTTTTTTATTCTTTCTGAGCCAGCAAGGTCCACAAAACTTAACTGTATGATAAATCCAATATAAAGAGTAACATCCACATTGCCTTCAGTTCATACAATATTTGTTTCAAATTCTTACACTAAAGGAATATGGTGTACTAACATATATTTATACTATTTTAAAGGGCAAAAGACAAATATACACAAATAATAATACCTTTCCTCTGGCAGTTGATTGGCTTTGAAGGTTGGTACTTTCAACTACAATTGATAGTATAAGATGAGACCTAGAGCTTTCTTCATTCATCTGTGTTCCTGACGTATGTCGCCGCTCAGATCCCCTCTGTATTATGCTATTTAACTCCTCCACAGTAGAAATTGACATAATTGTGACGTTTTCTACTGCTACCATTCCCTAAAATAAGACTAATAAAACAGTTACAATTTGGAATAGCAATCCATGAAAACAGAACTATGCAATTCTACAACTTTGGAAAAACTTTAAATATTTGTAAGACATCCAATTTTAAATGCTACCCATTCAAGAGCAAAATATCTAGAAATGGAAATTTACATTCACAAAATAATAGAACAATCACCTTTGAATCCTTCTTAATATCCAATTTCAATCGCTTTGCATTCTTAGGTAACAAAAGATCTACAAGTGTATCTTGATATAACTCCAACATGTATGCCTGCATCATTGGACAAAAGAAGTCTCCATCAGACAACAAACAGACTTCTGCAAAGTTCGTATGATCTATTTTGGTTAAGTTACTCAATATTAGCCACATTTAAAGACTAAAAAGAAAATTAATAATATAAACAGTTACCTGTGAAAATATATGTACATTCAATGGATTTAATGATATCACATTTATCAAATGCAGAGATAAATATTCATTAATCACCAAGTTGCAATTGTTACCTTCAAGGAGAAAGAATACTTGTTACTATCTCTCCTTAAAATTCTAAAAAGTTCTGCAGTAGCACGTGGGGTAAGCCCAGGATTGTTTTCAGATCCATAGATTGTAAATGTCTTCCCAGAGCCAGTTTGACCGTAGGCAAATATGCAAACATTATAACCATCCACAGCAGATTGCACTAAGTACTGTATTGTAAATGTCCAAAAGAAAAACATTAGCAATGATTTAGAAGTATAAAAAATGTTAGATCTATTTCAATATATATATTATCTAACGTAAGAAACAATTGTGATCTTTAATTTGTTATACTAAAACTTGCCCTTGTATCCTCAAATACATCTTCTTGAGTGGCATCACCATCAAACACGCGGTCATATATGTGTTGTTTTGGTTTATCATCTTTCCACGGATGTTCAACTGTAAACTCGTCCACAGCAGTAAGAACATCTCTTTCTTTGTCTGCAATCTCTTTTTCACTAAGAGGTCTTGACCGACAATAAACTCTTATCTTGCCTTTCATGTCTGAAATTAAGAACCAAATACCAATGTTGTTATTATGTTAGTTATATATGCAAAATGCACGTTCACATATACAAAATAATTCTTGTATAAATACTTTCTATCTACCACCTTCTATGGTATTAAAATATCGCTTCCTGAGAACCTGCTCTTCTTTATAAAGCACTTCCAATTCAGCTAGTTGAGCCCCTTGCATCTTCAATATGGTGGCTGTTTGTTCGTTCTTTCTATCAATGTCCTATATAAAGCAAATAGAAATTTTAAAAAGTACATATTTTTCAAATTAACACATAAAGTGAATATACATAGCATGCTGATGC